GTACGCCATAAGGACTACAAGGGCCCCTGAAGAATATCCTTGCTGCCAAGAAGATGGTAATCCCCGCCGTATATTTTTATACGGGCGAAGGGTAAGGCAGAGGGATACAACAGTGGGGAATCCTGATTGTCCCGAGTCTAGCCATGTGCTTGGCCGAGGGAATGAGCCCCGAGGTACCTCTGGGGGAGCGTCTCCTGGGGATGTGTGAGCAGTGTCAGACTGCCACAGATACCGGACGAATAATTGACTGTCCTCCAGAACGACAAAAGGGGTTTTGTTTGTCTAACGGCACTCAGTATAATCTCTGTGAACTAAAGGGGGGAGGTCTGGTGTTACCACTCAGGGGCAGGTTTTAAGGACGGGCAGTCTAAGACTCCTATGAGAAGAAAAACCAAAGCTACCCACTTCAGGTATAAGAGAGAAGTGGGAATGCTTCCTCCAATTCCAATCTGTAGCCAATGCTACAAAACTGTCTAGATAGGAGGAAAAAGACAATCCACCTTTTTAGCATATTATAAAGTCAACCCTTTGTGTTACAATAAAGCAAACTTAAAAATGTGTACCATAGGAGGAAAATTGTATTGGGAAGGTAAAAATTTAAAACATGAAGAAAAAGCCTCCTTTAGTAATGAACCGATAATTCTTGATTTGTTAAAAAGTGATGATGACCGAGTATGTTTACAATTTGATCAAGTGTTCTGCTTCTCCAGAGATATGAGGAAGGGATGGACCCTGAAAGCAAAATAAAGCAACTAACCCTAGAATTAAAGAGGCGAGAAGTAGAAATTCGGAAAAAGAGACTAGAAAAAGAGAGACTTAACTCTCTTAGTGAGCACTGTGAGCAATTAGAAAGACAATACAGCAACTGGGGATTACCAGCCCCCAACCAGAATCTTTTCATAGACCTAATGCAAGAAATAGCCACAGAATTAGGTCTATCTAACTGTTGGATCTGTGGTGGTTTAAAGTCGGCTGAAAGGTGGCCTTGGAAGGGAGAGGGACTCACCCCAGAGCAACTCCTAAAATGGGAGGGCTCAAAAATGTCAAAAACGACACGAAGACCCGAGGGATGGGTGATAGACCAAAGGATAATTGGTACCATCTGCATTAGCAGAGAGGGAAAAGAATTCACAGACTTAGTAGGTTATACCCCGTGTATAAACACACTCACAGTGAATTCTGACATTAAATCAAAAACTTGGCAACCTGAACCACCCACGGGCTATTGGAGTTGCACCCGGGGTAATCACTGTGAATGGGTTGAAATAATTGAACTATGTTGGTACAAAAACTCCGGGGCCAATCCCTTCCATGCACTAGAAGGCCTAAAAAAATATTGGGATGATCTGACAAGAACAAACAAAGGCTGGGAAGCTCCTGACAGTATTTACTGGATATGTGGCAAGAAAGCATATGGTGAGCTACCTAAGAAATGGAAGGGCTCCTGCACACTCGGAATAATTAGGCCCTTTTTCTTTACTCTACCCAGAACAGAAAGTAAATTGCTGGGAGCTCCCCTCTTTGAAACATTAAATAGACAAAAGAGGGAATTAAAACGGGAACTACCAATGGCAGGAGGCAGTCAGAAATGGAAAGAAGAAGAATGGCCTGCTGAAAGGATCATTAAGTATTATGAGCCTGCCACTTGGGCAAATGATGGCAGTTGGGGTTACAGGACTCCCATTTACCTTCTCAATAGGCTTATCAGGTTACAAGCGGTAGTAGAAGTAGTTTCCAACCACACCTCAGAGGCCCTAGAACTCCTAGTGAAGCAACATTCACAAATGAGAGCTTTTGTGTACCAAAACAGATTAGCTCTCAATTATTTGTTAGCCGAGGAAGGAGGAGTGTGCGGTAAATACAATGAGTCCGAGTGTTGCATGGAAATAGATGATTATGGAGAAACAATAAAAAGACTAGCTGCCGAAATAAAGAAAGTAGCACATGTGCCAGTTCAAAAATGGAATTCGATTCTGCAAGCCTCCTGGTGGGACCAAATATTTGGGCAAGGGGCTTGGTGGAAAAAGTTAGTGTTCTTTATATCTTGTTCAATTGCCGGAATCATCTTCCTCCCATGTTTGATTCCTTGCTTCATCAGATTAATTCACTCTGTTGTGCAAGGAATGCAGATTGCCACCCTTCCAATTGTAATAAATATAGTTATGAATAAAAATTCGTAAAGACCTAAATAAATATATCTGTACTTATAATAACATGAGAGAATATAAAATATAAAATACAGTGTGGCCAGAAAGTCTTTTCCCAGATCTAGTCGCGAATTCCCATTCAGGAGATAACAATACAAGCAGAAACCCCGATAAAGATCCTAGCCGGCGCCCATCAACCGAAAAGAATGAGCAGGACACGGGCCATCAAGCTAACAAAGAAACGAGCTCGGAGGAGATACCCATCTCTGGACCTGAACATCCCACCTGGCCAACCACTGTTGGGGAAGCAATCAGACTGGACAAAGGGAAAAGCCCAGCCAAGATATTCATCGGCTCCAACCCGGATCCCACCACTCCATCCTGATGGCCCGAACCAAAATGAAATCAAGAATCTCTTTACATATGAGGAGACTCTGCCCGGACATCTATTAACTCTATTCTCCAATGCCAGGAAATCCATTCACCCAACAATCAAGGACCTTTGGTGAATGGTGCCTGCTCGGAATTTGGCCTCAGGACACAAAATCCCTATAAAAACCCAGACCCGAAACCCCTCGATCGTGGATTTGGGTAAATCTGTACCTCTGGGCATAGACCCCTGTCCACCCAGCGCTGCGCTGATCTATTTTATTGTGGTTTTTTTCTCACGTTTGTGGTTGAATTGTTTTATAGTAAATCACTGTCTATATTAATCATATTTTGCCGTTGCATTTATAACAGATTGGTGCCGTGACTCGGATCGGAGAAGCTGCGGGAGAATCTCGCTGTCCAGGACGGGTACCCCCGCTGATTTCGGCGGCCTGGTGAGTCGAGAGTCTCCGCAGTTCGTTCCGACATCCGAACCAAATTTAGGCTAAGGCAAAAACCAAAATAAAAAGAGAGAGAGACGGATCCAGAGAGCTCAGGGAAGGCGAGGAGCCTTCAAGAAACCGCGGCTTGGTAGCTCGTAAAACGTCGACAGTGCATGAAGACACCCTCGCAGGAAAAGAGCTGTAAGTACTGTGGGGTTGAGCTGGTGATTGGGCAGCGTGTGTGAGATGTGATCTGATCACGGAGCGAGTGCGAACTTCAAGGCCGCGGTTCCATCCTCCCGCGAGGGAATTGGCCAGCCGCGAAGGAAGCGATTCAGTGTGGGAAAGTTCTCTCTCTACACGTTTGTAAAACCTGGGACTAAAGGGAGTCCCGGGGGACTGATCACAAGGGGGCTGAAAGGGGAAGAGGACGTCCTATCGAGCTCGGGAATTATTAAACCCTTTCAGTCAACGGACCTAGGCAAAGGTCCAAGAGAGAATCGAAGTGCTGAATACAAGAGACCCCAGTAGAGCTAACTGCGAGGTGAGTATTAGCAAAAACTTTGATTCATCTGGTAAAGGCGGAACGAACACAACGCAGGAAAGGTAAGATATTTCTCAATATGGGACAAAGAAAAAGTAAGATGCAGAAAAAGGGTAATGAAAAGGGTCCCTCTGAGAGAGAGAGGGGATCACTGGACATCCCACCGGAAAGTCCCTTGGGATGGATGTTAAAATATTGGGAAAATTGCCCTGAGAGAAAAAAGAAATCTAAGGCAAAAATGATCTGGTATTGTACCGAGGTCTGGGGAGGGCAAGAACTGAGAAACCACCTCACTTAGCCTGTGGTGGGCACATTTGAAAGGTGGACGTGTAACGAGTATATTTGCGAAGTATAGAGCAGAGAAAAAGTAAGCTACAAAGAAAGAGCACAGGGAAAAATCCCTCCAATCCGGAGGAGAGATCACCAGACATCCCGCTGGAAAGTCCCTTGAAGTAAATGTTAAAACACTGGGAAGATTGTCCCCTGAAG